ATATATATTTTATAACTTGTATTCTAATTCGATGAATATGCAATTTGATTAATATTTGTATAAATATGTGTAATAGTAAATTTTACAACGCATTAATATTAAATTTTACAGGTAATCCATTTTTAATTCTTTTTTTAGATAAAACTTTCAATGGTTAGTTAAATTCATCAAATATTCATTTAAAAAAAAATTATTAAATTTACTATTTATATTAATATCTATATAATAGAAGAATAAAATTTAAATCCATTTGGATAAAAAATGTTCTTGTGCAAATTAATTTATTATTAGCGTTTCTAATATTATCTAAGAGGAATAAAATTGCATAATTAATTTAAGAAATCAAGAATTCTAATTTTAATTTTAAAGCAATTTGGTGTCTTAATATTATAATTAATTTTTTTTATTTATTTTTAATAAAATTTATTATTAATATATATAATTTAATTTTACAAATTTATACATGTATCAATTAAATACTATATTTATTCAAATTAATACAAGTTGTAAGGTTCTCTCATCAGAGAGAAACCTGAGAGAGGACATGAGGGCCTTTTTTCTGTAATCGCAAAATGCCCTCGCATACTACTGCCCTCTGAAGAAGTGGATATAGACTACAATATCTATTTTTTTCGATGCTTCTGATGAAAATAAATCACTGAAATCGTTGAAATCTCTATTAATTTGATAGATTTATTTCCATCACAAGTACCGCAAAAAGTGGATATTGTAAATCATACAGGGTGTTCCAAAAGTAATGATAAATCTTTCTCACAGGGGCAGAATGGAAACTAAACTGAGAAGAAAAGTCCTCTACCATTTTACAATTTTCGCAATAGTTAACAAGATATTAATTATTAAATATTGTCGAAAATTGGTCTTCAATAATTTTTTACTCCAACTTTACAAAAAAACTACAAGAAACAAAAATTGTTTTTTTCCTCTTATAGAGCTCTAAAAATTTTTTCAGAATTTTTTATCAACTTTTCAGTACTGCATTTTCTTATTTTTACCAACATGAAAAAATATGGTATCAAAAAATTCTAAAAAAATTCTTAGAGCTCTATGAGAAGAAAATAAACAATTTTTGTCTCTCTTGCAGTTTTTTTGTGAAGTTGATAGTATTTGGGTAAAAAATTATTGAAGACCAATTTTCGGAAATTTTTAGCAATTAATATCTCGTTAATTATTGCGAAAATTGTAAAATAGTAAAGGACTTTTCTTCTCAGTTTAATTCATTCTGTCCCTGTGCGAAAGATTTATTGTTACTTTTGGAATGTATATATTTAAATTTCCCTGTATATTTAAATTCACAATGCAATATGCGAAATTTGTTGAATTTTAAGTTCCATACAGCACAAAAATTCGCAGCAATATCGCTACAAAATCTATGCAATATTGCTGTAACATGCAATGTTACTGCAATGTTGTAGCAGTGTTACTGCAACTTTTGTGCAACTTTGTGCTGTAAGGATACTAAGTTAAAATATGATATTTATTGAAATAAACTAGTGATTTGTAATTCCTGTATTCTATATGTCTATTGACGAATTCGGCACCCGCACACATGCACTGATTCTGCTCTAGTGTTGCCCTGACATGATGCGAGTGCAGAACCACTTTGGTACTTACGCTATGCCATGCCAAATTGCACTGTCAGAAACGTCGGTGCAATGCAACATTTCTTGAATCCGTTAAGTTCATTCGGTTGGTCCGAATATAAATTCAGCACTACACTGTGGGTCAGTTTTCATTTGCCGAATACGACAATCTTAATGCACTGATACAGTGCGCACAAGCCGAATGCGTGACACTGAAAAAGTTCGCACTCAGTGCGCACCAGGGGTGCTATTCTGTAACTCGTTATGCAGTCGTTATGCACTGCACTGGGAAAATTTACACTCAGTGTAATAAAATTACACTAGTGCAAGCGACCGAATTCGCTATAAGTAAGGAATTTATAATTAAATAAAGCAATAAAGCCTATACACCAGAGAATATAAAAAATATAACGAATAGATTATTTTACTTTTTTTGTAATATGCATTAATATTTCAACAATTAGACGGTTGGCGCACAGCCTTCAGGTTTGTTTTGACGTGGTAGGACGGACGGGCGACGCGTCATGTTTACGCAGTTTACGCGCAGTTTACGACACCGTTCAACGCGTAGTCATTCACTTACCGACGCTCGTGTAGGCAGGTAGCCGTGCCGCTCTTCTTCACATAATTCTTTTTGAAACATATTTGTGACAAATATACTGTACCAGATAGGCCCGTTTTTTATTATCTGGTTAACTTGTGATTAAACTTAATCTGATGTTTCATCTAATAGGTTTCATCCATGACATCATCACAGATGAAGCTCATTGGATAAAACATTGGATTAAGCCTAACCACAAGTTAACCAGGTAATGAAAAACCAGGCCATAGTGTTGCCAACTGACCGGTAATGAACCGGCCTGCCGGTATTTTCATTCTCTGGCCGGTTGCCGGTAGATGTATTTTATTGAGTATATGAATTAGTTTATCAACTAATGTGCTGACAAAAGGTAAGAGGTAAAAAGTGGTTTGTTAGCATGATTTTCTAAAATAATTGCTCACGTAAAGTGTTTCTGACATCCCAACATTAGGTATTCCTCAATTTTTATTGCTCTCTTTAATGATTTATAATTAAATAAAAATTGATAATATATTATACATTCTTTAAATAAAGATAAATGCAAACATCTTTTTTAAATTATGAAACAATTTGAACTAAATAGAATAATACATATGAATAGCATTCGTATACATTTAGCGAGAAATAATTTAAATATAATTTACCTATTACATTTTCCGAATTAAGAATGCTAAATATAAGACACGAGATTGACAGAATTAAACGATTCGAAAGTAACAAAAAGCCGCAAGGCATCAATCTTTTATTAAAAACATTGTATACGCGGATTTCGTGTAATAAAAAGTTATTACAAACTAATAATAGCTTATCGTAACACAATTAAAATATCTAAAATATTCGTGAGCTGAGTATGTGCGTGACGAATGTAAGAAATAAAGCAAAAATCGTGTAATAAAGCAAAAATATATTTTGCTGATCTAGCTAGAATTATAGCTGTTTTTTTGTATCTGATAGAAAATTATGTATCATACGTATAGAATTTATAGCACAAATCTAAATTCTATTTTTGTCATCTATATAATTAGATGCAATTATACATATCTAATATCGCAATGCTTGTTAGAAATTTATCTATTTTAATTATTTTTCACTTAGATTATTATCGCTGTAACTGTAAGATCACTTTTTTAAGTGCTTATTCATCGGAGAATATTAAAAATGTAAAGGATATATTATTTTGTAAAATACGCGTTAATATTTCGACAGTTAGATGATCGCGTCATGTTTACGCGCAGTTACCGAGCGGTCATTCCATTACCGAGGCTCGTATAGTCAGGTAGCCGTGTCGTGTGCCGCTCTTCTTCACATTTCTTTTTAAAACGTAATCGTGAAAAATGCTAGATATCATACGAAACATTGTATTTTATCAATACTCACAGTATACGAATACTAGCTTACATGATTATCCAGACAGCACAAAATACTAAAAGATAACGAAAAGAGATCTTTCTTAAGTTGTCTTTTCGACAAAGCGAAAAGATGTCTGAAAAATGACGAAACGACATCGTTTTTAGATTGTCTTTTGAGCAAGACGAAAAGATGTCTTACAAGACATCATTTAGTTTTGTCGAAAAGATAACTTAAAAAAGACGTCTTTTCGTCATCTTTCTATGGTTGTCATTTTCGCAAAGCAAAAAGTCAACTAAAAGATATCTTTTCGTATTGCCGAAAAGATAACATGAAAAAAATATCTTTCCGTTATTTTGGTACTTTTTATCACTTATTCGCGAGCAATACGCGGGATCGCCACCAGATGGACGTGGTGGAGTTCAGTTTCTCGTGTTTGAAAATCATACAAGATAGAATAAAAGGTGCATTATGAGAAATTTTACTCGTGTTCTAATGAACACTAATAAAATATTTTTTTGAAATCGAGTCCCCTAAAGGAGGAGACTATGATGAAAGATAGTGGCTCTTGCACATATAGGACACGGCAAACATCGCAGGACCCAGAAATGGGATGTATATTGTCAGTCATGCAATTTCATTTCGTTTTGTGTAAAAATTACTTTAGGAATTCGATGTTATTAAACGTTATGTGCCAAAATATAAAAACTAAAAGAAGTATGTACGTGAAACGAAATTGGTGACCGTGATTGTACGTATTAGCCATGATGGAAGACATACGGATGCACTCGCATATATTTCTAATAGCCAATGAGAACGTGATATCATTTATTATGGTTGCTACGGTCCACTTGATGCTATAAATGCTTCGAAGCATTTTTTTGAGCAATTAGATTGGCCAATTAGTAAAATTCTTTCTTCCGATTGATCGATCAAACGCTCGCATTTGTAGCGCCAAATGGATCGCACCCCTACACTGTTAAATCTATAGTGTCCAATTTAACTTAGTGTGAGTCGCCACTGATCCTACTAAATATATCGTTATTTTTTACTAATACGATAATTAAATTTGACACTATATCGTGTCAATTTGATACTATGTAATGTCAAATATAACTATTGTTTTAGTATAAAATAATGATATCATTGAGTAAGAGCAGTAGTGACACTCACACTAATTGTAAGTTAAATTTGACACTTAGATTTAACAGCATAATATGTTATAAATTGCATTGTATACGCTATACGCATAAAACACTAAAATTATTAAAGATATACATGTAAACAAAAATATTAACGATGAATTTATATTTTTTTAAAAAAACAGTATAATGATATTGATGATAGAACAACAATATACAATATCAGTTATTAAATTATTTAATATTATTAAGATCTATATACATATGTTTCATTTGTTGAGTGTAATGGTATTCCTTACACATATAAAAGATACTTCCAAATTTCTGTTACATTGCAAGTACGTTATCGTTTAAATTATATTACAAAAATATTTTTGAGTATGTGTATTATAGTTGTTCAACATATAATTTACTACTGTATAATAAATACAATTATACTTCTTTCTAAGTAGCACTTACTCAGCCTTCGGTTAAAGTTTCGAAATGCGTTATTGAATAATTCTCTCGAAAGTATAAAAACGATCGAAACTGTGCACAGCCTTAAGACATTTGTCAGCATCGTGTTATGGAATTAATAATAACACGATGACCGAAACATATTTATCAAGAAACATTCACAGCGACTTTTGGTAAGGCAGGTTGCGATATTAACATTGCCATGCCTTATACAGACTGAGTTGCGTGAATACATTTTGCATTGCGTATTTTCGAAAATTATCCAAACGTAGATCAATGTTAAAGTTGAAACTCCACGTGTATCATTTAGAATTCATCTTAGTATTAAGCCTTGAAATGAAGTCCATCGCTTGATTGTCTCCTTTTCGGTGTTCCAATGCACGAATGATGTCTGTATCTTTAAATTAATATAAAATTATATTTTATAGAGATCACACACACACACAATTTACATGAATAATAGGATATTTATACTTATATAATAATAGGATATTTATACTTATATAAATATTCGATAAATATAATTAATATAATTAATATAAAATCATATTTTATAGGTCATTTACATGAATAATTTATAATAGGATATTTATTTTTATATAAATATTCGATAAATATAAGTCCGTATTCAAAACACGCTTATAATCATATTAGCGCATATTTAATATACAGTTTATATTACATATTATAGAATTTCAGAAATAAAAGCACACATTTATCGATAAAAGCATGTTCTGAGTACGGACCATATTCTGTATTATTTTCAAATTAAGAAATTAAGCTGTACACTGAAAGAAAGGATTAGCTGAATATGGCATAATATTTTTAATTGATTGCAGCAGCTAATTCTTGGTTGCGTTAATCTATCGAAATCTTATACTGACATTGTGGATAGGCAACCAAAAATTGGCTGCTGCAGCCAATTAAAAATGCTATGCCATATTTTACCATCTAATTTGCTGCAGAAGCCAATCTTTTCTTTTAGTGTAAGAATATGATATTATATTATTATCACAAAAAGTGTGATCCGATAATTTTCTGAAACATAATAAAAGCTTATTTATTATTTTATACCATTATTACATACCTTTTTTGGTCGGACGAGAAAGCTTTAAATGAATTTGATTTAAAATTGCGAAGCTAGTTTCTGGTTCAGTGTCAGGAATCTCATTAAATGTTAGGAAAGCTTCAGCCATAAATCTTGCTCTAAGAAAGTCCTTGTCTTTTAATTCAAATGCTACTATAGCGTTCTCTACGGCTCTTTGTTCCGGAGTAAGAGGACTGTAAATGTTAGAATTATTTCATAGTATTTTATTCTATCTTCTACTTTTACTTTATATCTGTAATAATTTTAAACAGTCATAATTGGCTACTAACATGTTAAACGTTTCGTCGAAAAGGGGAAACTGTGTTTCCTTCTGCACATGCGTCTTAGGCGTTTTAACTTCGGCAAATTTCTCCTCGGGTAATAATCTGATCTTCACATAGGAATCGCATTTACCTGTAATAGACATAGAAAAATTATATTTTTTGTATAACACGATTTATAACATTTGAAGAAACCCACTGTGAAACTATTCATGCACGGTGATGATGATTATCAATGCTGACGCAATACATATATTCTCATCGGTAAGGTTCATTAACACAAATTTAATTATGTAGAAATAATTGAATTTAATTATAAAAATGTAAATTATATTTTTCAGATATATAGTAATAATAATAATTTTAGAGAACCTCATAGATAAGAAATTACAAATAATCAAGATAAACAATATTCCCCATAACAATCTCCAATCTTTTTAAGTCAGGAAGACCACTATATTCATTAGAGATCATTTTTCTACTTTTATAAAACATTAAAATTTGTTCGTGCCATGCATTCCCAAAATGCTATTTTCGCGGTTGCAAGCAATTTGATAGAGAATTATATACAATTGATGAGGAAGAATTCCACTTTGTATTCTACACTTTTACATACTTGTCTTCCCTTCTTTGACTTTTTGTTTAGATTTTGAATGTAGTTTACGCTCGAGAGTAGACAGCTTGCTTATAAAATTGCCTATAAAATCGAAAAAAAAATTGTCATTTTTCCTTCTAAATTTCGCGATTTTTTTTTACCAGCGATTGAATTTATCAGAACTGATACCTATCATATTTTCCACCAAAAAGACACATAAATGTTTTATTTATTATTACAGTTAATTAGTTTGTGTGAAATATCTGTTTCGTATTATTTGATTTTACTTATATCATCAGAACTTCTATTTATCAGATAATATCTTCTTCTCGTAACTGTAAAACTTCATCTTGTGTTTATTTAAGTTATTTATTAATTTTCGTCTAACAACACTTTTATTGTTTTTGCAAACATTAATTTTATACGAGTACGTAAAAAAATTCTGTTAACTTTTTATTTTATATGTTATAAAAACTTTTAATTTGCTTACCATTGCTATCCATACATCGGAGATTTCTGGCATTTAGAATCTGGATGTTCAACGAATTATCAACAAAATATGCTTTGATGCTGACAAGACCATAAACAGGTTCTTCCATTTTCTTCTGTTCCTCCATGCGTTCTTGATGATAACGATGTATGAGCTCAGCAGTCTCGAGTCCATGTAATTGTAAGAGACGTTCTATTTTTTCCAAAACCTGGATGTTTGCTGTTTCATCAGCACCGAGATTAAAGAATCGAATGAGCGTGTGAAGAGTTTTATGCAAATTCGAGTAAAATGCTGGTGGTCGTCGTTTCTGTAAGCAACAATTTTATTATTTTATGAAATAATTGAAACTCTTTATGATAAGCAAAGAATGTGATTGTGTTCTTGAGTGATTGTGTGCATTTACCTCTAAATTAGTGTTGACTAGATCATACAACGTTTGTGATATGATTTCCCAAATCACATGGAGAACTCTGTTAAAGTTGTCCTCGTTGAGATTATCATGCAAAGTTGCTAGATTACTGTCTAAATACTGTAGCAGACGATCCATCGCGTTGCTGGTTGTGTCAATTAATTCGGCACCCTCCATGAGATATCTGAAAATACAAGCAAATTACTTATTAAGATATTTTAAAAAGTAAATAAATTTAAAAAAATTAGTTACCTGTACCTTTTATAAAATTTCTTATAAATTGTTACAAATTAAGGGTATTTTAATTGAAAGAAAATGATACATTTTTAATTATATTTACGTACCTATTCATTGCAGGAGCCATTTTATTGGCTACAATTTCCAATAACTCTATGATCTTGTTCTTCACAGTATCTGTGGCATTGTTAATGATAAGCTGAAGAGTCTGTCGACAACGATCAGCCTCTTCATGAGTCTTGTGCTCTCCTAAAGCATTTATAATATCCTGTAATCCCAAGTCCTGAGCCAGTGGTGCAATCGATGTTCTGATATAATCGATATTATTAATAGCAAAGCACCATGCTGTTGATATTGTAAATCTTTTTTCATACACGCTGCTCTGAGAAAGTTGTTCTAATTCCGTTGTTATCTCCGCTTTTTCTGCCATTTTATCAGCATATGCCATGGAACATTTACAAATATCCTACAAAACGATTATTTTATTATAAATTTTTTAAAGTTATCTTTAATATAATTTCAATTTTATCTATTTGTCTATAATATATCACAATTTTCTTATTAATGACAATACACACTATACGTCAATTATTATTTAAATACGTCCGAATTTTCAAACTTACATCAATAATTCTTGCTATGAACGTATAAGAACCTTCAATATCGGGCCACGCTAGCTGCGTCCAAAAAACTTTAATTTGATAGAATGTTGTTAATGTATCTACAGCGCTTGAACTATACTGAACGCTACTGTCGACTGCTTGCAAAGTATCAATTTCGACTGCTCTATCGATGCGTTTAAGTGCTTTATATACTGCAATTTCCAGCCAATGCGCGACACCGCCCTTAAACCAATCGTAATAATTCTGTATCTTCATATTCTCTAGCTGTCCTTCGGCACAAAGTACTTGGCCAAGTCTGTAAATTGTATGTAGAAATAAGCGAAATGTTTAAAATTAGCGAAATGTTTAAATGCTTAAGTAGATAAATTTTTCAGAATTATGTGAACTCACGTGGCATATCTTTGAAGTATAAGATAAAGCTCGAATAGAGTCGTGCCTAGGCTCAATTCCGCATTATCAGTGCTATCAACTTCAATTCGTTTCAATCTGGCACACACGTCCTCTATAATGATCATGCACATATCACTGATTCTCTTTTCATACGCATAATACATCATTCTTGCATATGGAATATTGATTTTCCTAAAATTTGTAATTAATACTTACATATCGTTTATTGAATAATTATACCCTGCGAGCATATAATATCTATAAGATAGATCGACTTACTTTATGAATATTTTGTCATAATAATCAATAGCTCTCTGTAAATCTGCTCTAATCAGTTGAACTACTTTAATATGATACCTAAGCGCGTCTTCATCAGATTCTGTTTCAGGCGAATTATTGCTTAATATATGTTCAAACCTAGAACATAAAGTGTATACTTAGACTGCGTTCCACTTAACGCTCACAACGCTCGTGGAATCATTTCATCCTTGTCGTTTATTGAATGTTAAACAAGGACAAACGATGCTCGCGAACGTTGCGAGCGTCAAGTGGAACGCAGCCTTAGTATAGCTTATTACAGCAAAAGAATAAAAAATGTTATATTTATGCATTCTGTTTCGCTTACCATTCAGCACAACTTTGTGTAATAGTGTATTCTAAACCTTGGAGTATATCTATTTTCAAATTTTCAGATTCAGGAAACCAAAAGTACATTTTGGCGGGAAAGAAGTCAACATCTTCAGGAACTTTCAAAGAGGATATGGATGATAATACCCTAAAATGATTGAAATTTTTTTTTAAGAATTTGATTTCAATGATTCGAAGCATTCCTTTCTATATTAAAGATCATTAAGACATCCTCATTAATACAATCACGTATTATGAAGTTAACAAAATTGCAAGAATATAAGTAATTACCTTAAGATGGAAGTTAATTGTATTATCGTATTTTGGTTCCCTAAAATCAATTTTCTAATTTTTCGTATAGTGTTTAGGCATGAAAATACAATTTTCTTTGTGGCTTTCCAAAAGAGTTTTGTTTCATCAACGGAAAACAGACCACTGTCCATTGGTCTAAGCAAATTGATTATAAGTTCATTAAAGATTGTGAAACTTAATGGATGTTCCTCGTGGATCCTTGCATATTCAATCCATTGTGCCAAAGCGAGATTTCTGGCTAGTAAGCCACGTTGCGCGCTATGTTGAAGAATGAGTGCTTCGGCTGGTCCCGACCAACGACCACACCAACAATACTTTTCAATTTTTTCCATTTCAATCTCATGAAGCAGCAACACTCTTAGCAGGTGTCGGTGTTCTTGTGCGGCCACTTGTGCATTATGTTCTGCACTGAAGGCCAATCGGAGCTTTACAACGCCACGACGTTTGGACTTATTTTTCTTGTCTAGAGCGTACCACATAGTATGACCCGTTGTAGGTATATCCTAAAAAAACAAATAATATAAACATAACATATATTTGACATATTTATTTAATATCAAAAATATAAATAGAATGTTAATGTAATGTAATATATTTATAAAATAAAATCTATGTACGGAAATATGCTTTAATCCTTTAAATAAAATTTTATATTACCTTCAAGGATATCCGACATCGACCAATAAATTCATTATTATGACTACCAGTTGTAGCTGTTACTGCAATTTCTTTGGCTAATTTAACTAAGCCACGAACACCTTTAATATCTTTAACTTTACTCATTTTTTCAGGCACAGTTTCGGCAGCATCAAAATCCCTAGGAAATGCATAAAATAAGATTAATTAATAATTAATAATAATTATCATTATATAGGGAGCGATGTGTATGACTTATGACTTACCATACTTCAAGATATAAAATGTCATTTTCAGGGTCCTCCAGCGGCCTAAATAATAACATGTATAGTATGAAATAGATACGATATTATAATTACATCTAATAGTTATTTTTAAATTATAAAATAAACTTAGATCTTGGCTCTAACACAGTATTTAATTATTTATATAAAATTAATTATTAAAATTAACTACTAATATATTAAAATATTTAATATATTTATGTCCTCTTTTAGATATTTTAAAAAAAGGTTAATAAAATATTTTAATTAACCTTTTGTGGACAGACGCGCCTATTTTGGCATAATCTCTTTTATTTTGTAAACTGCTCACTTGATTTTATAAAATTTAGTCAATAGGGTAATTTAATAATTTATTTGAATCTGAGATCAAAAAAATTAAAAATGACAGATCTAATATGACGGATAGAATTCTTTTAAAATAATCTGATTATCTTAAAACTCGATTTTACTGAATTTTTAATTACAAAATAATATCAAATTTTTAGTTTCGAAGCTCATCACTGATACATAAATAATGGGTTCTGATTTCTATATTAATTTGACTTTCAAACTCCGATTATGAGAAGCTAGATTTTCCTTCATTGAAAACTATTGCTCTTTCGAAATTCGACATTTTCAGACTACATTTAAATTCAATGATGACCAAAAACCTATCCCTAAACTGAGTTTCACGGTATCAGATTATGTTTTTTAATTAGAATTTTAGAATTCTAAAGGCCAGAATTGAATTCAGTGATCCTAAAAATCCTTAAAAAGTGAGATCTTCTTTTAAATTTCTTTGTTAGAAAGCTTTCGTCCACAAAGAGTTAAAAAATATAACGTAATATATTAAAATGAAAATTCTTTTATAAAAGTAGAAAAATATATATTTTGCTTACAGTTCAAAGTGTTCTTCCCAGATTGGACTTAATGTACATGTTTTTACGGCAGTATTGTATCTTCTGGTAGGCGCTGATTCGAGATAAAGGGCGCAGAAAGGATCACTTTTACCATTCGAATCTTTGGGGACTAATTCTTTGGCTTCGATTACTTCAATGTTAAGATGCAGTTCTGGTGGCTAAATATGAGCAAATGTGACAAAATTTTTTAATTATATATATGGTAAAATTACAATGCTATGTTATTTGATATATGTAAAATAATTGTAAAAATAAATTACCTCAAGATTTTGCGTTTGTTCCAATACTCTCTCGTGTGTTTTATTATCAATTTTGAAGGCACTTTGTAAATGGTTCAAAAGAGTTTCTTGGTTACATTCTTTAGAAACGTCGAAGCCAATTTGATGTTGTGTCATATACACTAGCGCAGCATAAAGCTCTTCGATCTGTAGACAATACATTACAATAAATAATGTTTTAAAAACTTTTCTAGAAATACGTATGTAAGTACAATGACTCACGGAACTCTGATTAAATCGTACCATTGTTACAAATTTCTTTTGGAAATTTGTGAACGAAGATATCTGTAGTATAATACCATAGATATTTGTTTAGTTAAATGTTATATTGATATTGAAAGATTGTTTTTACCGCGCGCGCGCGATTACTTTCTTCGAATCAATTAATTATAGATAATTGTTAGTACATTTGGTTATTTCCGTAAATCATTGTATACGTATAATGACAATATAAATTTTATCAGTTAATATTAATTAATTAATATTTTACGTATTTTGTTTTGTTTAATTTAAATCTAAGGTAGTGCTTTTAATTGCCTAATTATTCTTAAAATAATAGTTTACCAATGATATTAAATAGTTTTGAGGGAATTTTCAAGTCTTTGTTGAGGGTATTATTCGTAAATCGGAGAATATAAAGTTTTTAATCGAAATATCTATGTACATCATCTAACTTATACATAAATAAAACATTTCATTATTTTGCAAAATTCAACATTACATTGTAAAAAGAATTTATTAAATTTTAATAAATATTTTTTAAATAATTCTAGTGGAATATTTATTTTACTTACGACAAATAAATATTTAGATAGATGAAAAAAATGATAGTTAAATAAAACTAATGGTTCTTGTATTTAATAAATATGTGTTTATATCTTAATAAGTATATTCCTACTATTAAAAAAAATATTTATTAAAATTTAGTAAATTTTTTGTCAATATATTTTTGGGACAATTATTATGTTCAGATAGTGAAAATGATACATGATATAAATTGTAAAATTAGAGAACGATAGTAGAATTTATTGTAAATATAATATGTATATTTATTATAAATATGTATATATACATATATATATATAATAAATACAAACATAAATATACAATAAATACAGAATAAAACACAATTTTTCTAATCACTAATCAAAATTAAAATTTACAGTTTAAAATTAAATTATATTATTAATTTGCATATTAATATTTTTTCAGAATAAAGAAATTAAAATATTTTAGAAAAATAAAATTATGCAATTAAATAAATATGCAATGTTTAAAAAGAAAAAAAGTATAAAAATCAATAAAACACTAATGTAATTTTCAATAGAAGTACAAATATTTATATTTTTTCGAGTAAATGATTTTATAAATGTTTTATTAATCACAACCGTCTGTAATGTTCAGACTCACCGTCATGGATTGTAAAAGCGCATTAGTCCTACGTTCAATTTCAGCCTTTGGTATTCCACAAAATGTATTTCTCTTACGGTTGAGGGTGTTTGTCCCTATGGGCGGATTTGTGCTCACCATATTAAACCTCATTTAATTATTCACTTGTCGATTTAGAAACAATAACCACACAGACTGTCATATAATTATTGGGTTATACATTCTACACTTTTCATGTAGTTCTCCTGTGATTCGCACTATTTGTGTCCAACGCAATCATTATTAAATTTATTTAGCCGAATCATAATTCTTTTACTTTAAGCGGTGCACCGACAATTTTCTTAGACGATTCGTTTCGAACAGCTGTGACGACGATAACGGACAGAAGATCTAGCGAAAAGAAATCTAGAACAGCACGACAATGACCCGTGGAGATGCAAGACAGAAGATCATGTTGTTCGGCAAGAACAATGACGTTCATGCACCAGTGGTCCTGGTTTCAATTAGACGTTGGACCTGCTCGCGCAACACATTCGGACCTTGCGTGAGGACAAAGAATTCCGCGCACTGACCCCTGTACACTCACATTCGATGGAAGAGAGAAGAGGGGCAATAAAAATTATTGCTTTAGCTAATAGCTAAAGATAATTTTCCAAAAGTATTTTATGCGTTATTAACGACAGAGAGAGGATACTAATTTATCGCATGCACGATCGATGAATTTCGTTGCGGTATTAAACTCACAGCCAAAGATGAACTTTCACGATGGCCACGACCTTTCTTATCGACAATATACTGAGTCGTTGCATATTCAATCGTTTGTATACATAATTAACGATTGCCATCAATCGTAGCACGCATAAATCGTGATATTACACAATTACATCTTACACAGTTGACATCTACAATAATGGTCTATGATATAAGCATGCACGAGTATGCCAACTGATATGAGAATGAAAGACAAGAGTAAGAGTATCGTTATTGAAATTTTCATTATACCATATCTTGTAATTTTATTTGTGCACAACAGTCGAGAATAAATTACTTTTTTATTTTTAGCATACCTATGTAATATTAAAATGTGAAATTTTCTTGAAGATAATTTTTAGACATTTCTAGATAAAAGAATTCATTATCGAATCAGCGTAAAAACATGTTATTAAAAGCTTATGTTCTTTAAGAAAACAGATAAATTTTAACAACGCTGTGACAAATTTTGGATTGTTAGCAAACACTGAAGATTACCTACATCAATATGTACTTTAGTAACTAAAAGTTAAGAAACACGTGAAAAAGACAAATTTTATCATAATATAATTGGATCTTACATTGCTGCTTTAATCGTGATTTTTAGTAATTCTTCAATGTTTTTAGCAGAAAGATTGGTAATATATATATGCTTAAAATAGCTAGTTTTAAATCATCGATTTTAAATAGATATTTTCTAAATAAACTATTTGTACACACGTGCTATAATATTTTTTAAAATAATATAATATTATGAATTTTAGAATTAATATAGATGATTTACGTAAAATTATTAAAATTCGAAATTATAATTTTTACGAATTAAATAAAACTGTTCAATTAAACATTTCTAAGAAACTATATATTAACTTATTATAGATATATATTTATTATATTTTTGATTATTTTAATAGAGGCATACATCACATGTCATTATATCGAATTGTTGAAATTTTCTTGTTTGAAATTAGAGTAATTTTTTATTTACTTTACATGTTTTGCTGTTCACATATAGGAACTTTTAATTTCTAATCAAGATTATCAAATTAAGAATTTTGTACGACAAAACCAGAATTAGGACACCTTCAATATCAATGTTTACTGGCAAATACAGTTGCCAAGAGCAAATGTGTGTGTCTGACAGTGAGATTAAATTTATACTACGTCTGAAATATATACTAATAAAACGAAATCTTCTAAAATTATAAATATTTAATATGTTTAATAATTCTATATTAATTTTTATTACACGTGTCATTTCTGTCGCGCTAATATTTTTTTGCTGTGTGTTATAAAGACAGAGTGTGTGAGGAATGAGCATCATGCGTTTGCGTGCATAAATAGTCTGAAAACAATCGGCGAATCTGGACATGAAAGAACTATGTCGTATCCCGTTTAGAGTGACCCACAGAACAAGTGCAACCACAATGCGTTCATACGTTCGCACAATTACGTCCAATGAAAGTTGATATACTAACAATTAGTTCATTGGCCATCAAGGCACATCGAGATACTCGTTGTATGATAATGGATTGTTTGAATGTATCAAGATACTTTCGTCCTTCGTATTCCGTCCTCATTTAATTTTCATAGAATTAAGCAATTTTGAGACGGTCCAACTCCTTACGCCCACTTCAATACCAATTCTATTTTTCGACGAGGATGAGTTCGTTTAAGACGTTAGTTACTTTGTATTGTTATAATGATCATAATTATTCTTCACAATACTAATAAAATAATTTATAATGTATTATTTTTATGTGCAAACTATGTTATGATAGATAAGAAATTTATTGATGCTTAGAATTTAGAATTGTTTAGTAGAAATATCTTGTAATCAAATAATCACAGAAAGCATTAATTTATGTTCGAAGAGATCTGTTAATAATAAAAATAAGAAAATTATATTATAAAAATAAGAAAACTATAGATATTCAAAGACAGATGATACTGTGTTACAATTTGTTTCATTTTTAAACTGTGTCCCTGACAATTTGCCAATTTTTCAAGAGGCTATCGAACAGAAAAAGAAAGTATTTTAGCCTGGTTTTCTGAGTGGTGATTTATTTTTATAACTTAGCAAATTCCAAATATTGAATTGTTGTAATTTGTAACTGTGTTAAATTTAATAAATTATAAAAAATTATTCTTGTGTTACGTATAGTTCAAATTATTATTATATTAATTGGCATTTATTAACAATTTTTTCTATTATTTAAATAATTCTCTGATTTATACTAAAGTTTTTTTTAAGTTTTTGTTACAGTTTAATTTTATTTTTTAATATATACATATATGCAATTATTTATTAAATCATGTGTATAAAATACAGTTTAATTTTATTTTTTAATATATACATATATGCAATTATTTATTAAATCTTTTGTTTAAACATAATTTAATTTTAAATTAAAATTAATTTATAATATAATGAAAATATCACACATATTTCATCAGTAAAATATTTGGAATTGTCTTGACAATACACATTTACTTTTCTAAAGGGGCACATTCATACCACAGTAAGTCAAATTGTTTTTCACTTAATCAGAGTACACATTTCTTACATAACTCACCGAAAGTTTTAAATATTAAAACTCTCTCTTTCTGCTAATTTAAATTTAAACGGATTAATTGAAGGAAAACTCACTACCCTCTTAATTAATTAAATCACTCATTAATTGTATGTAGAAATATATAAATAACTTCACTGTGTTTCATTCTTCTAGAATATATCTCTTGACATAAATATATTTTGAGAATTGATTATTAATTGAACGACAATTAGCGATGAAGCTAAAGAAGATGGTCAGGATAATCAGCGTGAGAAGACAAGACAGGAACTTTACGAAGGCGAGCACCATACTGCCAGGAATAGATGGACCAACAGATCAGAGTCGTCGTACGTCGACTAGACGACTTTGTATTAGTGCATTTGCTAACGCACGAACACGTGGATCTCATTTCAGATGGAGTTTAACTGCTCGATTAAGCGTAAAGCATAACACCCTAGTGTACAGAGAGTGTACAAACGGGTATTATACAGAGAAAATTGCTATCGATTTTGTATCAAAGTCTGACTTTGAACCTTCAGAATAAGTGATTGTTCTTGAATTAATAAAAATTTATTGAATCATTTTATTGCGCACACATGACATCATGCAGAATAAAATATATGAAAGAGTATATTCACTATAAATTAATGAATTTCTTGTGACGAAACTATTTGTGATTACAGAATACAAAAATAAAATATTATTCTGCAAATATAAGACTATGATTTATATAAATTAAATCAATATTTTTATACTTAATATTGATTACAGTGTAAATAAACATAATGTGTTAATAAATAATTTAATATATTTCATGTCAGACTTACACATTTTTCTTCTTTTATGTCCATTTTAGGAAAAAGTGGTTTGTTGACTTCGGTCAAGTGTATTATTTTAAAATAAGCCGAATTAAAGATAAAACTGAACAAAGAAAATTATAACAGCGGTTCGCATGGCAACGTAAGGGAGCGTCTAACTTCGACTAGCTTCCCTGCCAGACTGAGACCTTTGGTAAAATCAATATTGTTACCGGTCATTCAATTGTGGTAGGACATACAACACCATACTGAAAATATGAAGTTTCGATCCCACGAACAGAAGCATAAATGATGAATGCATATTGTAAATACAAAAAATTAACTATATTATGCAGTAATAATCCAGAAAATATACGCTTAACGTAAAATCACGCATAATAACAGGTTTATAAAATATTGTTTATTAATTTATAAGTGTTCTAAATCTATCAAATTTTAATGTTTAAATTCCTCTAATATGTTGTAATAAATAGTCTTTACACATACAAGAAATGATTTTGTTAAAGTGTCTAAAAATATTTAGCCTGATACAGAGATAATACTAAAAACAATTTTATTCAACTATCAAAATAATTATGTAGGATGCTCAAACTGATTGCTAGAATGTCGAAACTTTTTACATCATTGCGCATTATGCTTAAGTGTCCTACATAATTATTTTAACAATTTTATAAATTTTTTTTTATAATTATTTTCGTATTTGTATTTAGCTGAATTTTTTTACTTTATAAAAAATCGTCCTTTTTATGTAAAACTTTTTTCCAACGTTTCGTTTGTTAGAGATATAGATTAACGATAAGATAAGTTTTAAGAATTTAATTTTATTTAAAAAAAATTAATGCAATTATTATTCTAAGTTACTTTCCCATGACAACGAATCTGTTTCAAATTAAACGGTGTATAATGTATTATATAAAAGTTCTTCAGAATTATAAGCAAAGTTGTTTTGATTTTGAACAGACTACCAGTTATCTATTGACGTAGGTGAAGCGGTATGGAGCTACTCGAAATATTTTCAGGCAACACTTCACATACCGTTAACATGTGAGAATTCATTCTCTTATCGAAAGTAGTCATTAATATTCTAGAAGTAAGATGCTGAAATAATCTATCTAGACTTAGAATCACAAAATAGAACGCTATTATCTCTAATAGAAGATCTATCATACTTTTGATTTTGACAGTGCATTATTAATTTCAAACTTTGTACTTGAATTGGAAATTTAAAAGAAAATTCCCAGATAGCAAACTGACATAATTTGGACGTCTTTAATATCATTTTGACATCAAAATGATGACAATAATGTCAGCTTGTTACTTGGATTGCAGTGTGATATTTTATCATTATTTAAATAAAAATTTGTCTATGGACTAAAATTTATAATTTATCTCATGTGTCATATTAGTAATTAGTTCAAGATTTTATTACTTACGTTTAAGCCCATCGATTCGGCCAAAAAATTTCGAGCATGTTCATTTTCATCTCTGTCACTGTCAGTTTCTAGCAAAGCCTCAGTTGGTTCATCGATACTTCCTTCTTCATTCAAAGTGCTATCTTCTTCTTCTTCTTCTTCCTGCGTTTCAGCCTTCTTTTCTGGAAGTGAACCTTCTGCTTGTTGCTGAGCACGAGCTTTTTCTGCGAGCAGCGTGCCGAGATTTTCGAAAAAGCCGCCATCTGATTCTTGTATTCTAAAATGAGATATTATTTCAGATTAATAATGAATTAATAATTTCTGAACTTTAATTACAAAATTTCATATCTTTTAAATATTTTTATAAAATTTTTTATATCTTTAATACATTAACTAAAAAATATCCTAG